TCACTCCGCGCGGGGTGCGGGTCGGGTCTGCTCCTCCACGCCGGGCCACATCCCCGGCCCTGGCAGTGTCGGGGTCCCCACAAGGGCACCGGGGTCTCCTGTCCCGGTCTCTCCTGCTCCGCCGTGGCTCCCTCAAGGGTAGCGCGACTCTGCCTGGCGGTAATTACGGACCCCAAGCCTGCGGCTCAGGCGCCCAGCGCTGCGGGGGGATCACAGAGGCCCCGGCCTCCCACTCGCGGGGGCCCGGCTGGCGACATTTCTGCTCTCGGGCCAAGGGTCCCCGCGTTCTCCCGGCGCTGGGCCGATTTGAGCGGGCGGGGCGGCATGAGGGGGGCTCTACACGGAAAACGGGGTGGGGGGCAGGCCCGGCTCCCAGTTGATGCCAAACTCGGCTCCAGGAGCCAAGTGGAGCAGTCGGGGGGCGGGGGGCGGCTCTGGTGCGTGGGCGGGATCTGTGGGAGACCAGGACAGGACACTGGGTAGAGCCCACCAAGGGCCCAAAGAGCCTCCACCTGGGTCTACAGGTGCAGGGCTGGCGGGACCCACGTGGCCACTGTGCCGCCAAGGGATCTGCTCCCACACCTGGGACCCGCCAGCACCAGGCGCAATTTCAGCAGATGTCCAACAGCGGCGGGTGCATTACCTTTCCCCGAGCATGCCCACGTTCTCTAAGCATTCTCCCCGCTGCGTCACTTCCTGGGGCACCTGCAGGGCACAATCCTCCCTTCTTTCATGGACCTCTGCTGGAACAGAGGCCCAGGGGCCAAGTGTGCGGCCTGAGACCTGCCAAGGTGGGGCTCAAGGCTCCTGCGTTCCTCACTCCCTATTCCTCTCCCCACCCTCTGAAGAAACCTTTCCTCCGACAGTTTATCCCCTGTCTCTGAGCCCCACGGAGTGGGTGGTGGGAGTAGAAAGGAAAGCTTCGTGGTCACTATTTGGCAGACAGAGCAGATTTTGGGCCGGTTCACACTGAAAAGCGGAGTCATCCTGGGTGCTCCTGAGCTCAGTGATCCTCACCCATCCAATGGAGAAACAACCCTGAACTCGCTGGACATTCATGGTAATTTCTGACGTCATGCTCTGGGGTCAATGCTTGTCAGGCTCTTGGCCATACCCACACCCTGCCCTGGCATCATGGCCTCCGTCCTCTCCCTTCCTAGCCTCACGTGTGCCTTCCCTCAAGCCCTGTCTTCACACTCCCTGGCTGCTGGTGACCGGAGGGGGCAAATCTTCAGGTTTCCAGCCCTTGACGATAAAAACAAGGATAGATGAGGGAGCTGGACTCTAGAGCTCTCCAAATTCTGAATAAGGAGGATTCCCAGGGGATAATCCCTTCCGTGAACTGAGGGAAAAAGGGGACCCACATAGTACCGGGTCTAAAGAGGATACTGAATCCAGGCATGGTAGTGCACTCCTGCAGTCCCAGCATTTTGGGGAGCTGAAGCAGGAGGATCACAAGTTCAATTCCCATCTGGGCAACTGAGCAAGACTGTCTCAAAATAAGAATAAACATGTCAGGCCTGGCGTGGTGACGCACGCCTGTAATCCCAGCACTCGGGAGGCCGAGGCAAGAGGATCTCTGTGAGTTCGAGACCAGCCTGGGCTACATAGTGAATTCCAGGTCAGTCTCAACTACGTAGTGAGACCCTGCCTCAAAAAACCAAAAAACAAACAAACAAACAAATCAGGAGAGGAAGCTCAGTTATAGAGCACCACTGTTTTGACCCCCAGTACCACAACTAAATACATAAATACAAGATACTGGAAGCTGAGCTCTGATTGTGGCTCCACAAAACTCCCCTGGTGAACCCTGCCAAGGACCTGGAACCCTAGGTTGTGTGGGAGCACCGGATCCCTGTGGGAGGGCAGGAGCCTGTGGGACCTGACCATACAATATATGCTCCATTGTCACTATTCACATGGACAATAACAGCTCTAGGCACTAGGGGAAGCTTGGTCGGAAAGCAGTTGATATTCCACATTAGAAAAGATCGCGTTCTCCTTCCCAGCTAGGAAAACAGGCATCTTGAACATGCCCTGAGTCTTGGCCACAAGTGAATGCATTACGTGTCCCATCCTCCTGCATCAGCCTTCCAGTACTAGGATTACAGGCTGTGCCACTGTACTTGGCCCCTTTTATCTTTAATCTGGAGGCAGTGTCTGATTCAATTGCCCAGGCTGACGCTGAGCTTGCTATCCTTCTGCCTCGGCCTCCACAGTAGCTGGGATGACAGCTACCAAGACCAGCCCTCCTTGCCTCAGCGCTTGTCAATGAACCCAGGGCTCCACTCGTGCTAAGTACGCGCTCTGGTGCTTTTTTTATTCCTTTGTTTAGTTTTGTTTCTGTCTTTGAGATGCGGTTTAACTGTGTTGCCCGAACTTAACCTTGAACCCCTAGGCTCCGATGGTCTCCCACCTCAGTTACCTGTATAGTGGGGACGACAGGTGCAGGCCACCACATCCACTGTGGGGAGCAAGGAAAGGGGCCGTTACTAGAACCACAAGGTGAATTAACTTATTATACAGGAAAGATAGAAAAATGAGACCTAGAGAAGAAGCTGAGCTCTGGGCCTGGTCAGTGCTGCCCTGGGCAGAAAACACGAAAGACCCTGAGCTTGCTACACTTTTATTCAGCACACCAGGAAAAACAGACAGAGGTCAGTACATCGGGAGTGAAAAATGTGGCTCGGAAGGAGGGGATAGGTAGCTCAGAGGGCAGCTGCAGAGGAAATCCTAGAACGACGGGGAACCACACAGATGAAGATTTTGTTCCTCCCCAGGACGTCTTCAGCTGGTGTAGTCCTGTCCTGGAGCATCACAGCGTCACAGGAACACTGAGGTTTTAGCTGTGACTGGAGACGGAAATACAGCTGTCTTGACATGCCGTAGCTGGCCTGAGGGCAGGGAAACTAGGCCTAATCACAACTTTAATCGTGACACAAGTTTTCCCCTGAATTATGGAGAACTGCTCCTGACAATCCACCTGTCAGCCTTTTCCTTTAGAAGAAGGAGTTCTTGCCACAGTAAGTCTGCAAGTGGCAGCCCAGTGTGGTAGCACACGTTTTTAATCCTACCACAGTGGAAGGCTGAGGCAGGAGGATCTCAAGTTCAAGCCCAACCTGGGCAATTTAGTGACTTAGCAAGCGTCTGTCTCAAATTTAAAACTAAAACAAACCGGTGGGGCTGTTGCTCAGTGTGAAGCTTGGCGTCAATCCTCAGTACAACACACGCACACAGAGCGATCAGGGACAGAGGGGATGATGGGCTCAGCAGGAAAGCCGCGATCTAACATGTCAGAGGTGCTGCGTTCAACTGCCAACACGTCAAAAACCACACGGTGCCCTGAAAAGAGATTACAGGTCAGCCAGACATCCAGACCCAGGAGCAACGTGAAGTCCTGCGTGAAAGGAGAGGGAGGGAGGGAGAGGGAGACAAGGGATTCTGCTCAGTAAACTCACAGCTGGTTTGCCGCAGGCTTAGGTCCTCACCCCTGGGAAGGGACACTTAGGTCTGGGAGAGATGCCCGGGAGCTTTGGCAGAACAAGAGCGCAGGAACAGACCCTGGCAGCTAAGGAGGAGCTTGCTGCTTTCTGGAGACGTAGGGGAGCGGGGAGGAGGGAGGGATCCTGGTCCTGGGACGGCCAGGAGCACGGAGGCCCAGCCCCGCTGGTCGCCTTCCAGCCAGTTAGCAGTGGAGACAGGTGTGTCCCTTGAAGCCTGGGCACAAAAGTGCAACGCTCTGCTGGTCCACAGGCTTCTGGTTCTGACACAGGACTCACCAGGACTCAGCATGGCACTTTCTGACGAGGACAAGGCCCATCTCAGGTTGGCCCGAGAGAAAATTGGCCCTTGGGCCCAGCACCGCCCAGATGCTGCGTACAGGTCAGTGCTCTCCTCTCCCTGTTCTGACAGGAATCAGGCAGGTATCAGAGGTGCCCAGGTGCTCTGAACAAAGCTGTGGGACACGTAGATGACATGTCTGCTGTCCTGTCTGACCTGAGCGACCCACATGCTCACCAGCTGTGTGTGGACCCAGTAAACTTCCAGGTGAGCGTCCAGGCGAGGGGCTGAGGGCGGCGAGGGACCAGCAAGCCTTACTCACATGAGAGGGACACACAGCAGGTTCCAGACGGTGGGACAAGTGGTCCCCGTCCCTGTGGTTATTCACAAGCTCCTCCATTCACTGCTGAAACACTCCCTGCTTGTAACCATGGCTGAAAAGTACCCAGGAGATTTTACTCCTGAGGTCCGTATGTCCCTGGACAACTTCCTGGCTGCGACTTCCACTGTGCTGATTTCCAGATACCACTGAGCCGAAGGGGCCCTACCCTGCCCAGGCCACTGGGCCCCAGGCCAGGCTCTCCTTCCTCTTCTCCTTGTCCTACACCTCTGCAGCTTTGAATAAAGTCCAGTTGGTGGCAGTAACCTGCGTGTGCCTGGGTTTTCCGTCACTGAGGTGCCCGTGGTGGGTGTGGACTACTCCTCTTGAACCTCCAGAGAAAACTGAATCTGCCCCGACCCTGGACAGAGGACAGTCCTAGGATGGACACTGGCCTTTGCAACATCACTGCCCGACACCACTTAACACCAAGTCTATGTGCAACAGAAGGAGGCAGGGGGAGGCCTGGGTTTGGATCCCCAGCAGTTCAAGAAGAAAACAAAAACAAAGAAAAACAAAAGAAAAAGATAGCTGAGTATGATGGCGCATGCCTGTAATCCCAGCATTCAGAAGGCTGAGGCAGGAGGATCACCTCAAATTCAAGGCCAGTCTGGGCTGCATAGTGAGACCTTGTCACTGAGAGAGTGGCGGGGAGGGAGAGAGGGAGAGAGAAACACAACACCAGGTGCTGAGGATGAGAATCTCACTGAGCCTCAACTACTATGCCCCCACCAGCGGGTAGGTGGGCAGGAGTGAGTGTCCTGGTCCCACTGCCCTTACTTCCTCAGTCACAGTGACTCTCAGAGCAGGAGGGATCAAGGGAGCCCAGCACATCAGGGACAAAGAGGGGCTTGGGCTGCCCTGAGCAGACTCGGCCCATCTGGGAAGCTCCACAGCCCAGTTCCTTATTCCCTTCTTCCTGCAGTTCCTGAGGCAGCTTCAGAACTCACTGTGTCCCCAGCCCTGAGCCCCCACCTTCTGGTCCCCCATTCTTTTTTTTTTTTTTTGAGACAGGGTCTCACTATGTAGTTGAGACTGACCTGGAACTCACTGTGTAGCCCAGGCTGGTCTCGAACTCACAGCGATCCTCCTGCCTCAGCCTCCTGAGTGCTGGGATGACAGGCGTGCGCTGCCACGCCTGGCTTTCGTCCCCCATTCTTTGGTGCAGGCCTTCGGGGACCCCCAGTGATCCTGCCTCTGGATCACTGATGAGAGACACCCTTGTCCCAGGACTCCGAGCTGGGGCTCAGAACACCCCGGTCCTCTCTGCCATTCTGGGAATTCCATACGGTCTTGCAACCCCAGAACCACCCCGTGGGTGCAGCACTGAAGAAGACTCTGAGGTGGTCGGTCAGGTCCCTTTAACCATGTTCTGCACGGAGAACCTCTCTGAACTGTTGAAGAGGTCCCATCCCTCCCTCTCCTCTATCCCCTCCTCCTCTGCTGCAGCCAGCTCATTTTTATTTAATTGTACCCAAGCACTTAATAAACTGAAGAACCAGGCATGGCAGCACAGGAGAGTAATATTAGTGTTTGCAAGGTAGAGCCAGGAGGCTCGCTGCAAGCTTGAGGCCAGCCTGGGCTACATAGTGAGACCCTGTCAAAAAGACCAAAAGGCTGGGTGTGGTGGTCAACATCTGCAATCCCAGCATGTGGGAGGCTGAGGCAGGAGGATCCCATAGAGTTCTAGGCCACCCTGGTAAACATAGTGAATCCAAGGCCAGCCTGAAGTACAGTGAGACCCTGTCTGGAAAGACAAATAAATAAATAAGAAAGAAAACAGAAACTGAGCTCCACTCATGCTTACACACACACACACACACACACACACCCCTTTTGTGTTATGCAAAAGAGGGATAAAGTTCCTCTTCCCTGTCTCCTCACACTGTGGATCGTGGATTGAGTTAGAATGAACAGTTGGGACTAAGCCCAGTGACTTCCATTTATTTCAAGGGAACAAAGATTAAGGGTGGCTTCATGGGGTTTTTTTGTTTGTTTTTTTGTTTTTGTTTTTGTTTTTGTTCTGGGGATTGAACTCAGGACCTCGCGCTTGCAAGGCAGGTGCAGTGCCAACTGAGCTAAATTTCCGGCCCTTCATGTAACTTCTTAAAAATTGCTTTTATTGGTACTTTTTGTTTACTATACGCTGATATTCATTATTGGGAATTTGTGCCCCTTTATGCTCCTTTCCTGAGAGACAGGGTCCGGCCCTATGGCCCAGGCTGGCCTCGGAACCCTGGGATGAAGCATCCCTTCCTCCGGGACTCTGCTGATTGCCTCATCAGTTGCCTCACAAACTACTTGTCTTTTCCCTTCCTCATTCCCTTCCTCCTGCAGTTCCTCAGGCAGCTTGAGCGCTCACAGCCTTGAGCTCCCACCTCCTGGTCCCCTGTTCTTCGGCTCAGGCCCTCTGGGATCTCCCAGTGGTCTTGCCTCCCCACTGTTAGTTCAGAAAGGTCCTTGTCCCTGGTGCTGCCTTCCAGGACTCCAAGCTGGGACCTCGAGCACTCCAGCTGGCTCCACGGCCCCAGGCTCGGGATTAGCGCTCACTGCCAAAACGTGGAGTAGTGAATACAGCTCTGGCGAGGGCCCTTGCACCACCCTCTGACAGGTGCCTGTCCCAGCCCCTGGAATCCCTCTTCCTGTCAGCCTTCGACTCCTCTGCCCCACAGACAACCCATTTCATTTTTTTAATTTATTTTTTATTTTATTTACTTATTTTGGGGGGGGTACTGGGGATCAAACTCCGGTCCTTGTGCTTGCGAGCCAGGCGGCAGAACTGAGCTAAATCCCAGCCCCCTTTTTCATTTAAATGTAAAAGCATTTCAGGAATACACTGGAGTCCACTCATGCTGTCCCATGTTCGTTCTTTTCCGTTTTATTTAAAACAGGGAAAAAGTCACTCTGCCCTGACTCCCGATCCTGCAGAAGAAGGCAGAGCTAACAGCGGGACTGAGCCCAGGGCCTCTATCTGTACGGAGGGAGATCTGATACAGGGACTACTTCATGTACTTTGGTCTGGTTAGGTTTGGTTTTGTGTTGTTTTGTTTTGCTTTCAGATAAAGAATCTCACTGTATTGCTCAAGCCGACCTGGAACTTCTAGGCTAAAGCCTCAGCCTTCTGAGAATCCGAGGACACGGGTAGGTACCGGCACAAGGGGGCATATTCATTTCTCAGTTTTATTGAGCATTTCTGGTTATTTCCTACAAAGACTTTTTTGTGGGTGAGAATTGTCCTCATGATTTTCTTGCTTTTCCCTTGTTTCTTTTCTAACTTCGTTACCTTCCTCCCTCCTTTCTTTTCCTTCTTTTCTCTCTTTCTCTGTCCCCTTCCTTCCTTCCTTCCTTCCTTCCTTCCTTCCTTCCTTCCTTCCTTCCTTCCTTTTGGCCCTATGAATTGAATCCACAGCTTTGCCCCATATTTGCTAGGCAAGCATTCTACCACTGAGTTATATGCCCAGGTTTTTTGGTTTTTCGCTTTTAGACAGAGTCTTGCTATGCAATTCAGCGGGGTCTTGAACTCACTATGTAGCTTGGGCTGGCCCAGAAATTGTGGCGATCCTCCTGCCTCAGCCTCCTGAATGCTGGGATCACAGGTGTGTGCCACCATACCCAGCCCATGCCCAGCCTTAGAAAAGAATTGTATTGTTTGATTTATTTGCAATATTGGGTATTAAACCAGCATGTTCTACCACTAAGGTATATTCCAAGGTGCTCCCTCACACTGTAAATATATATTTTGAGACAGGGTCTCACTAAGTCCACGTTGCTCAACCTAGGTTTAAACTTGTGATTCTCCTGCCTAAGCCTTGCAGACTGCTGGGATTACAGACATGTGCCTATTTTTTGGTTTGTTATTCACAGTTCTGGGAGTTAAACCCAGGGCCTTATCCATGCTAATCATACATTCTACCACTGAACTACATATCCAGGCCTTTTTCTTTCTGTTTCTTGTGTTTTTGTTCTTTAGGTGGGGCCTTGCTCTGTTGCTCTGTTGCTGGCTCTGTTGTTGATCTCCTATGTTCAGGAGACTCTCCACCACAGCTACTTGGGCACCTGTTTCTATAGGTGCAGGCCACCCCTACCAACTTCCAGCCCTTTCAGTACTTTTGCTTGTTATATGTGGGAACTCTTTCTACATTAAAAATGAAAGGGGCCGGGGATTTAGCTCAGTGGTTCCACTGTCTGCCTTGCAAGCTCAAGGACCCGAGTTCAATCTCTGGTACCATAAATAAATAAATAAATAAATAAATAAATAAATATAATAAAGATGCAAGTCAGGGACTAGATGTACAGCTTGTTGTTAAAGGGTTAGCCTAGCACACAAGAGGCCCTGGGTTCAATCCTTCCAGTCCTGCAAAAAACAAGACAAAAATAAAATAAATAAACAAGCAAAGAAAGAAAGAAAGAAAGAAGAAAGAAAAGAAAATCTTGGGAGGCTGAAGCAGGAGGATCGCTGTGAGTTTGAGGCCAGCTTGGGCTACATCATGAGTTCAAGGACTGCCTGGACTACATAGAGAGACCCTGTCTCAAAAAACAAAAAACAAAATCCCAAAAGAATGAAAAAACCCAAAATGAATAAACATGAGGCATCTTGATACCTAGGTTAAGTAGAGTGACTTTGTTAAAAGAAGAGAGAAAGTGTGAATACACAAGTCTTGGGTGAAATATATTTCCCAAGACTAAGACTTCCCTAAAAAGGCTCAGGTAATAGACACATTGGAGCCAGATGCAGAGGGGTGATCTCAGGCCGGAGGGCTTCCTAGGAGGCCTGGGCAGAGCAGTGGGCTGAAGGGTGATGCTCACCCACCCTCACTGTAAAGCTCTTCCTCCAGGCCCCAGGAAAGTCACAGCAAGCACTCCTCACCCGCTTCCTCCTCAGTAACATCCCACCCCACCAACACGTCACCAGCAAGAGGAAGGGAACAGTACCAGAGGCTCTCCGGCCCTTCCCACTGCTTAACCAAAAGTCTCTTCCTTTTACTTTGCAGACTCTGGTACTGTTCCCACCTCTTTTCATTTTGTTTTACTAGTATATGTTTGCAGTACATCATGAATACATTCCCTGTGGATAGCTGGTCCGCAGACACCTCTACCCTGTAGCCTTCTGCCTGTCCCCTCCCCAAGCCAAGCCTCTGCTGTCCAGTGCTAACTTGTCCTCCTCCACCCTCACTTCCCCCGGGAAGCCCACCCGAATCCTCAGGCTAACCAAGTCTTGTCATGCAGTTCCTCCGCACTTCTCAGGGCCTCGCTGAGGTTTGCAACTGGACGTGGACTTGTAGGGCGGCGTGATGACGCCTCCATGCCTGAGGACGGTGAATGTAGAGTCCTGTCCAGCCTGTTGGTTGTTTTGTTTTTTTGTTTTTTTGTTTTATCATTCAGCCATCATTAAACTAGCCAGTCTTCCTTCACACACAGTTTGGGCAGCGAGGATGTCACCATTAACCAGGACGGAGGGCCAGTGGGACAGAGACAGAGAGACAGTCATACAACAGGTAGGGGCAGGGGACAGGTGAGGTCCCCCCGCGAGTCCATGAGCTGGGGCTGTAGTGAGGGAGCTTGAGTCTGCAGCCTCCAATCCCAGCCTGGATAACTTAAGCCTGGCTATTTCCTCCTTCCCTGTGCCTGTCACTCAGTCACACACAGCGGCTTCGGCGAAGGAGAAAGGTTGTAGCAGCCGAGGCCGAGAGACAGCAAGAGGCTTTCCTCAGGTTCGCACCTCTCGGCCCGGAGCGGGCGATGGCTCTCTTCCTTCCCACAAGCAGCGGCCCCTGCGTGGACTCTGCTCAGCTAACACGCGTCCAGCGTGCGGGTCTGGGTGCAGGCAGGTGGTGCGCAGAGGCTCTGCGCTGAGAACCGAAGGCCTGGGAAAGATGCCCCGGAGCTGTCGCAGGGGAAGAGCAGGCCCGGCCAGCAGCCGGGGACAGGCGTACCGTTTCCCGGGGGCGCGGGCAGAAAGAGCCATCAGCGTGGCAGGGCTAGCGGTC